ACTCTACCAAATAAATAACTATTGCAATGTACAAACGATAAAATAAGCCTTTTATTTGTTGCTAAGCCTTTTATAAAGCTGGTTTTTTAGTTATCTAGAAGGGTGGTTGTCCCATATTCCCTCTTCTTCTTTCTCTTGCACACTACCTTTTTTTTCTGTACAAACATAATATAAGACCAACAAATAGCAAGAGACTCACAGGTACCATCCTGCTGTCTCTTCCGTTCACCATCTGAGCTCCGTCTGCTATCAGGATATCACCAATGAGATTAGGGTTTTGTGTGCTTCAATGAGCACGACACAACCCAATTAGTCGTGTGGCCAGAATCACAACCATACTTCCTCATGCGCCACCTTCTTCAGGTGTGAAGCCACACACTACCATCCCTTTGTTGGAACACCAGTGCATCTGCCCAGAAATGTTTGTTACCGTAGCCTAGTTCCTTATCTGTTCTCACCTCCATTTTTCCTCTACTAAAAAGGAGTAAATGTAGCCCTCCTCTGAAAAAAATGTGCTTTCTTCCTTTTTCACAAAACGGCTTCCTTATGTCTCAAACTCCCACCATTACAACAAAGAAACTAAAAATTATCTATCATGGGCTTCCTTTGTGGAACTTTGGTTCTTAGGTCAAGGTTACCATGATCTTGAGGCGCTTCTGATCACATAGTTGGTAATGCTTCTTTACTTTCTTCCATGTCATCCACCCCTTAAATTTCCTCATCTTTACCTTGGCAGATAAATGTATAGAATTGTTTCCAAAAGATTTGGTTAAGTTTCTCTTTACCACCTCAGAATCTAATTTCGTTTTATTTATATCCTTAACTGTCCATTCAACCTAATCATTTAATGTTGATGAATATCATTTAATGTTGATTCTTCTGTCATTCAGGAAAAAAGTTATGGCTAAGATGATTGGAAGAATATATGAGCCTCCGGGCCCCTATTATTGTGAAACAGTCATTTGTATTTTGCACTGTCGTTTTGTCCCCTACGATTGTACATGATCGGTTTAGCCATCCAAGTTTGTCAAAATTAAAACTCTTTGGTTCCAAGTCTTAAAAAATTAAAAGTGTTAGACCGTGAATCATGAGTCAGACAAACATGTTAGGTCTTATTTCCCAAACAAACTTAAAAAAGACGACATTTGATTTTTACTACCATTCACTCAAATTAGTGTTGTCGAACATCAATTGTAAATAAAAAAATTTGGAAACGAAACCTGGTGCTCTGACTCTGCAGGGTAAAATGTTCCAAGTTGTAGAATTTGAGTAGTCACAATGCTGCTTCTTGACCTGGTTTGCTCCTGCTCTTTGCTGACAGCAGCCATTCTTGCTTCTTCAGTTCCATTGACAAAAATAATAGATCTGCAAGGATACAGACATTGTTAAGTACATAACAGTCAGCACGACGTTGAATATGGGGAGGATCACAGAAATGGTAGTTGAGATCAGGACTTCTCCTACCTGTATTGTTTACCCACATCAGGACCTTGGCCATACACTTGCCTAGGATCATGGCTTGACCAAAAGATATCCAGTAGTTCCCTAAAAGTAATCTGCTGTGGATCATACTCAACCTGCATTGCAATAGCACCTCATAATCGCTAATTTAATTACGATCAACATCAACTCATCATAACAATAAATTCATGCAGTTATATCTGATACTAAGAAAATTTCTCCATTTGTTCAATATTATCAATATATAGTAGTCTACACGAATTCTAGAATCAAGACAACCATGACATGATAAAGCATGCAAGAGTACTATCTTTACCCGATCTATAGATAAAAACTTTTCTTTCATGAACAATGAATGAACATATGATTCCAAATTATTCAATAAATATCACAGTCCCCGCCATCCACAACTTCAAGTCAAATGATCACGAGTTCCTCCAAAACTTGACAGTTTCAGGTTTTATAAAATAATAAGGATCTACGTACAAATCAAACAAAATTATGGAAGACATTAGTCCGCCCATGGCTTTTGGGGCTTACAGACATAAAAGAAGACAAAATTTCACTCAGTCCTTGGTGGTTTGACACAGACTAACCTCTAGAACTCTTTATGCGACCTTTGCCACATGTGAGGACTTAGCATTTCTTTGGAAATAGAAGACCTTGAGCTGTTATTGAATTTGGTTGGATTCTATAGATGTTTCATGATTTCAACTCTAGCTAACTAACTTGGATACGATCACAATCTAGGAACAAGAAACATACAATACATAAGGGTCAAAATAAAAAACACAGAACAACTACTTAACAATCCTAAAAACCAGACATAATTATGAGATGGTTGAGTGTTGGGAATAAGTCAACCATTGCCAAAATCAAAAGTACACCAAAATATCCACATGATTCGATTGTTAGTTTACTTTCTTGAGTCTAAAGCACTCTGCACTATGTCAAAGGACATCAAACTCAGCAAGGTGGGTAACGACAAAACAATATCTAGACGAATAGAATGTTCTTGTTTCCACTGATAACTCATTTAATGAAAAGAAGAAAAGAGGTGGATAGCCAGAAAACTTATTCCATGAACTGCTACTAGGAAATACATAGAAAATGTGGGTAAGGTTTAACAATCAGCAAACACCACTCTAATTGCTAGGGTAGCAAATCTCACTCACCAATTATTTGATGAAACGTAATAATCTCAATCCAAAATATAAATGTATAGAAACTTTACCCGGTAAAATGAACTGAACTCTAGTATCATCAGAGTAGTTTCAACAAGAACGATTAACATAGTCATTTCAAACCCACATCACAGTTACTCATCCAATTCCAAGCTCTAGGAATTAAAATGGGATGTATCAGTGTTAGCAATTGATTAAAAGATCAACCTATAAAATGTGAACAACTTCACAGTTTGGCACGCATACGGACGTCACAATTTCAACCAATTAGTGATGGTAAGTCCATTTTATCATATAGTAAGAATAAGAGGCAACTGAGTGAGAAATTAGAGAAATTGGGAACCTTGACGGATTCGGCATGGTCACCCAAGCTTCGGTATTCAGGGTTGGACTTGGATCCGCCGGCGTAGCCGACGGTTGTACGTACAACGCCGGGCAAGCAGCCGAAGACGGCTTCGGATCGCCAGAAGCTTCCGAGGGCGAAGACGGCCACCTGCAAGCGCTGTTGGTCGGATTGGTCGAGGGCGGATTGGGAGACTCGATCGGGAAACCTGATGCAGAGAGCATTGTCGACGAGGAGGAGGAAAAGGACAATTAACACTGAGAAGACTTTATGATGATGATACGAACGGTTATGATTCCTCTCTGGAACTGCCATTTTGGCCACTCGCCCAGGCGTTGCGTTTTGTCTCTGCTAAAATACTACCAAGCGCACTGGGAACGAGTTTTCGTTGTCGTTTTAGGAGGTGAACGTGACAAAATGTCCCAACGCGCCTCCCACCCTCCACCTATATGTCGTTTTGATTACGCACTTCTGATTTCTCTCTATCGTATCATAGATGATAATATCAGGAAACAGACTATTCTAAATGTTGTTGTGGCCATATTTACAATTCAACACAAAAATGAGGTTTTTCAAATGTTGTTCCCGAGACTAAAAGTACGGGTTTTTAACAGCAACTCTGTGCTACGTATTTTAATTCTAAAACTCCATTTGTATTTCCTTAAACTTTTCATACAATAATGAGATAGTTTAAATGAGAAAAAAAAAGAGAGATCCCCTTCTGGTATAGAAACAGTGGTGATCACATGTAATAGTTTGAAGTAACTTTGAAACTGATCAAATCTAGCACCAAAAACTCTCGTAAGAGTCTTGTTTTTCTTTTTGAAGGAAAAAATTTCTTTTAGTATGAAATATAGAAATAGAGAGTAGTAAAAAATATCACACTTTTTACTATTTCGCATATTTTATTTTTCCCTTAAATATAATAAAAATACAAAATACTGAGGAAAGTGATAGTCTTTTTTCCACAACAAATGTATCAGTAAATTTATAATTATATAACTATCTGATTCTAATTTATTTATTTATAATTGTTTTAAATGGCAAGTTTTCCTTCTTTACGTTACTTTCTCTTCATCGTATTTTTTTACACTTTATTCATCTCTCTGTCCAACATTTTCTACCCCCACTTTCTTTCATTTCCTTCCTTACCAACAAAGGTAGAACAAGAGGATGCCATCTAAATTAATTACTATAAATACAGATTTTATCTTCTTAAAGAGGGTTACCTGTATCATCAAAGAAAATTGCAATTGTGTTGATTATATATACACACACATAGCATACTCATCATAAAACCTTTAGACGTTTTTACGTAGCCCGATCCCGTTTACATTTAAAGCAAAACGTACACAACAAAGCATCGGTGGTAATATTTTATAATCAATCACCTCTCAATCTATACACAACCCACACCATGAAAAGCTTAATAGTTGGATCCAAAAGAAGCCACATCATGAAAAGCTTAATTGTTGGATAAAAAAAAGCCAGATTTAAGGTATTCAATAATCATCAATACCGCCTAAGTATACAGTAAATTATTCTGGGTTTGGTAATATACTTTCCGCTCAAAATATAAACTTAGACAGAACTGTTAGAGCTTCCACGTCGTGTTCAACATTTTATGATTATGTACGGGATTCTATTAAAAATAAAGTAAATTGACTATCGTCGTTAAGTTCTAGAAACCAGTGATGCCTAACATATGAGGTTATTTAGAAAAGCTCAATAAAAGAGAATAAGGAGTACTTGAAATATTAGTTGTTAAGCACGGCAACTCCGAAAAGCTAGAAGGAATCCCGAAACAAACCCCTAGTGCCACCAGAACAATAACAGTGTCATCATGCAGCTATAGGACATGTAATTCAAACAANATTAATCCAGCAAGGTACAATCAACCAGCGACCAAATGCCCCATAATTACAATTACAACAAAAATCGAATTGCGAAAGACGGAATTATAATGTTCCGAAAACTTGCAAAATCCTAAACAATTCTACCCAAATCCTAAACCAGTAAATTGTAAATTATAATGAGCAATTCAAAATTGAAAATTCTAACATAACAACAAAAAACGCGGATACGAACCTAGAGGTGTCATTATCAGGGTTGTGACTGATAACGATGGCATAATCGCCGGAAGCCCTAGCAAAGACACCACGGTCACCGACATGGTGCTCAACGTTGCATATAACAGCTCCTTCAGGGATAGAGCGAAGGGGCAAAACATTACCAACTACGAGAGTGGCCTTCTTGCCACAGTATATGAACTGACCCGTATAAAGGCCTTCGGCGGCAACGAAGAGCTCGTTTTGCTTCTTGTATCTGAATGGGTGGCGGAAAGTCACCTTGGCAAGTGGGGCACCGCGGCCAGGGTCGTGGATGACGTCGGTAACGACACCCTTGAGGTAGCCATTCCGCTCCCCGAAGTCCAGGCTCCGGAAGCGAGCCGGTCCCTTGCGGTGGTGGGTGTGGGACTTGAAGACTGAGCCCGCACCCTTACGCTGCGCACGGATCACACGTCCCATTGCAGCTCTGCAGTGTTCGATAAACCTACCTTTGAGATGGGAAGAGAATTCTAGGTTAAAGGAGGCTTAGATGAGGCTATTACCAGTGCTAGGTTTCCTCTTTCTGGGTTTATGTCTGGGCCGGCCCAATTTAAATTAGTTCATAAATAAACATTTTACTATAATTACACTTTCAATGTTTTATTAATTTCATTCGGTATTACAGCGTACAAGTAAATTACTTAAACTAAAATTTCAAGATGTGGTTTGCTTTAAATTATATATTTAAACTCTCAATCAAAATCTAATCTAAATTTTGAGTTTAAAATAAAACAATTTATAAAAAAAATTGTTTATATTTTTATACATACGGAATTTCACTTTGTTACCCAAATATATTATTTTACTTTTATACCAAAATATTCAACTGAAGTATATATACTCAGAAATTATTGATATTCTACTTCCACAATAATCATAAGAAACTTTCGGTACACACAAGTCATGAGATGATGATGATGATGATAAATTTCTCTTTGATTTACACTTACAACTCAGTCATCAATCATTAAAAAATATTATTTAAAAAAATAACAATTGAATGATTAATTACATAAAAAGAAATAATAAGTAGTTTATAAAATATATACTCTATTATTTATATTTAAATATGCTTTCAGTATTATACTAAAAGATAATGTTATCTAAAGTATATATACAATCTTATTAGGGATAAACACTTTTTAGTTATTATTTTTTAAATTGTTTGTCATCATTATATGAAAAATATATATAATATCATTAATTATGTGTAATTAAAAAAATCTTTAAACATATAATATTTTAAATATTCATGATTAAATTTTAGTTAACTTTTTCTACTAAAATATGCTAAAACCAAAATATAAGTTTAAAAGTAATTTGTTTTAAATTGTTTGTTTTAAAAATCATATCATCAGTTGTCTGAAAAAATAAATAATACAATTAATTATGGGTAACTAAAAACTACTTTTTTATTTCCAAATATAAAATTGAAATATAATCCTTTTAAATATTCATGATCAACTTTTTAATTAATTTTTACATATAAATTTTGTTCAAACCAAAATATAAGTTTATTGAAGAATATATAATTTTAAATTATCGCATAACAATAATATATTACTTATAGCTTGAACAAAATATTTATTTTAAAGAGTATTTATTTTTAAAACATATTTTTCTAAATTTTTATGTGTGTTAACTAAATTATTTAATTATTTAATATATATATATTATATATCAATAATTTTAATTTTGTAGTTACATTCAACGTTCATCCATCAAGTTTAAATTAGTTTTATAAGATTAGATTGATTTGACCATTAATTTAATTTAAGATCTGATTTAGGATAAAAGTTACCTTACCAGCTAGTTTAAATTAATTTGTTACTTCAACTTTAACATGAAGTAGCAATTAGTTTAAATTAAATTGACACTTTAGCTTGATTAGGGTTGGCCTAACAGTTAATTTTATTTAAATCTACACTTCAATTTAACTAAGGTTGGCTTAACAACCAATTTAAATTAAATCAACACTTTAGGTCAGTTATGGGTTGATCTATTAGTTAATTTAAGCTAAATTAACACTATCCCTTTGTTCACTTAAATGGATTTAGGAGAGAATGATTGAGTGGATTTCAAGATAAATTTTTTTGTTATTTGTTTGAGTGAATATGGAGGTAAGTGACACTAAAGTTGAAAGCAACGTTTATGAGAATTAGTGTAGGATTTGATCGATGTGACAAATTAAGAAAATTTACTTCGAAATCCACTCTCACCTACCTCCAAATTCACTCAAATAAACAACAACAAAAATTATCTTCAAATCCTCTTAAATTCATTCAATCACTCTCTCCCAAATTTATTCAAGTGAATAAAGCCTATAGTTTGGCCGAGGGCTGACAACTTAAATCGACACTCCAACTCAACTGAGGATTAGCTTGTGAACTAGTTTAAATTAAACTGACACTTTCAGCTCAGTTGCGAGCTAGCTTAACATCAAATTTATATTGAACTCAGGTTGACGATTGGCTTGATAACCTGTTTAAACTAAATCGTCACTTCAACTCAGTTCATATTGGTTTAACAACCTGTTTAAATTAAATCAACACTCCAATTTAGGTTGCAAGTTGTCCTATTAGTCAATTTTAACTAAATAAACACTTTAGTTTAGCTAAAGCTTAGCATCTACATTGACACTCCAATTCAGCTAAAAGTTGACCAAATAACTAGTTTAAACTAAATCAACACTCCAACTCAACAAGAGGTTGACTTACACCAATTGGTTTAAACTAAATTAATACTTTAGCTCGGTTAGGATAACTTAACAACCATTTTTAAATTCTACACTATGCTCAATTGAGTTGACATAACAACTAGTTTAAAATTTTACACTATAAAAAGCAAATAATCAACCATACACCAAACAAGTTTAAGAATAATATTAATAGAAAAAAAAGAGAGACATACCTATTCACACAAAATAAAAAATGTTGTGAAAGAGAATATCAAACAGTAGAGCGAAATGAACATGTTATTTATTTGATTATTCTATAACAAAATTTCAAAATGGAAAGTAAATGCCTTACTTGTGAAAGAATTTGAAAGGTCATATTAACTATTTGAAAAATCACTCAAAGTAGGAAATTTGAAAAAACACTGTTCCAATTTAATTCTTAAACTTTATAAAAATGAATATATATAATCTTCCTAACCAAATTACTTTAGATTTTTTTTACTTTAGATTTTTTTTATATGTAAAACATGTATTAGGTTGATATTCCAATTCAAATGCGAGTCTACAACATCTTTTTATAAGTCTAAGAAAATAAATATTATTGAATTAAAAAACTATATTTATATATTCATTTATTTTTAAATTTTTAAGACCAAAATATTTTAAATTTTGGAATAATGACAAATTCTTGTGAAAGTTATTAGGTCGAGATTAAGGGCTTGTTCTTTTGAGTGGATTTGAGGGAGTGAATTTGAGAGGATTTGAGATGATTTGAAGATAATTTTTTTTGTCATTTTTTTTGAGCAAATTTGGAGGTAAATGAGAGTGAATTTAAAAATAATTTTTTTTTAATTTGTCTCGTCAATACAATTCTATATTAATTCTCATAAATTTTATTTTCAAATTCACTCTCATTTACCTCCAAATTCGTTCAAAAAAATGACAAAAAAAATTATCTTCAAATCCTCTCAAATCCACTCAAAAGAACAAGTCCTAAAAAACCGGTTAAAAGGAAAAGAATTGTCTTCATATAGTTTGTCGCTTGAATTAAAACTTTTAACTTAAGCAACAAATATAAAAAATAAAATAAATAAATTCAACATGTTTCACAAACTTGGTTTACTTCACAAAAAGTGGTTTAAAATCCTAAATTATCAATTTTGGACCTCCTATCCATATTTAAAAACTCTTGTATCCTTATTTTTTTTTCTTTGATTTACACATTCTAATATCGATGTATACAACCAATTACTCTGACAACTTCATAACTAGCCCACAAATGCCTTGGATATATAAAGAAAAAATCATTTACTAAAAAATAATAACAAAAAGGTGAAGAGAACGTACAGTTACACTGGTTCGTTAAAGTGCTCAATCTCAAATGAAAAATTGAAGAACATATCACATGCCTAGATTACTTAAACTGTTGATATGGTATTGACTATATATCAAAGACCATCTTTCTAAATGTGTATACCTGAAATCTATGTATGGATGGATACAACTGAAGCAAGACAAAGACAGTGAGTTATTTTTTGTCTCAATGAATTCATGCAAATTTTGGTGTTCAACTCCTAGGACTTATGTGTTCTATTCATATGACATCGCTCTTTTGTTGTTCACAAAATTACTTGCACTTAGCTTTTTGAAGTGTGGTGCATATTATAATTATTTATATGTCCTTAAACTACTCATACAGTAACAATAAGTATTTCTTATATGGTAATAGTAGTGATCACATTCTCTCTGTCAAACATTTTCTACCCGCACTTTTTTCATTTCCTTCCTTACCAACAAAGGTAGAACAAGAGGATGCCATCTAAATTAATTACTATAAATACAGATTTTATCTTCTTTAAGAGGGTTACTTGTATCATCAAAGAAAATTGCAATTGTGTTGATTATATATGTACACACACATAGCATGCTCATCATAAAACCTTTAGACGTTTTTACGTAGCCCGATCCCGTTTACATTTAAAGCAAAACGTACACAACAAAGCATCGGTGGTAATATTTTATAATCAATCACCTCTCAATCTATAGACAACCCACATCATGAAAAGCTTAATAGTTGGATCCAAAAGAAGCCACATCATGAAAAGCTTAATTGTTGGATCAAAAAGAAGCCAGATTTAAGGTATTCAATAATCATCAATACCGCCTAAGTATACAGTAAATTATTCTGGGTTTGGTAATATACTTTCCGCTCAAAATATAAACTTAGACAGAACTGTTAGAGCTTCCACGTCGTGTTCAACATTTTATGATTATGTACGGGATTCTATTAAAAATAAAGTAAATTGATTATCGTCGTTAAGTTCTAGAAACCAGTGATGCCTAACATATGAGGTTATTTAGAAAAGCTCAATAAAAGAGAATAAGGAGTACTTGAAATATTAGTTGTTAAGCACGGCAACTCCGAAAAGCTAGAAGGAATCCCGAAACAAACCCCTAGTGCCACCAGAACAATAACAGTGTCATCATGCAGCTATAGGACATGTAATTCAAACAAATATAAATGACCGTCTATTAAAAACTCCATGTTTTGGGCAGAAAATGGTTCTAAAAAGAGAGGACAAACAGATTAACATAACAATCTATGAGAGAAAGAAAAACAAAACTGAAAAACGAGCAATCAAATATACCAATCCTAACAACACTCTCCTTAAGCCTTATCTGCCTTGGCAGCAGTTGCAGCAGCTTGTCCTCTAAGACGACCAGTCCTCCTAGCGGCAATCAGACCAACCTTTTGACCAGGAGGAGCATCACGCCTGACAGTACTGGCATGACCAATGTGCTGGTGGTTACCTCCTCCGTGAGGATGCTCAACAGGATTCATAGCAACACCACGCACCTTGGGCCAACAATTCCTCTTCACCCTAAACTTGTGGTAAGCATTTCCAGCCTTAAGAAGAGGCTTCTCAGTCCTTCCACCACCTGCAACTTGCCCAATCATGGCTCTGCAGTCACTTGGGACAATCTTCTTCGCCCCAGATGGAAGCTTAATCCTATATCAAAGCCCGAACCACAATTAAACCAAACTCAAATCCCCCTCCCCCGAAATTTCAATGACAATCCAAGAACCATTATATCAAATCATAAAAATCATCAAACATTCCCATCACTAAATTATATATTATTCAATGCACTTTAATAAGAAGTGCTCTACCACAACATTCGAAATACACCTAACATTAATTAAAATTCATAAACCAATTCACCCAAATTCCCAACCTTCCTCGTCCATGAATTAAAGCTCATGCTAAGCACTTCAATAAAACATTAATCCAGTAAGGTACAATCAACCAGCGACCAAATGCCCCATAATTACAATTACAACAAAAATCGAATTGCGAAAGACGGAATTATAATGTTCCGAAAACTTGCAAAATCCTAAACAATTCTACCCAAATCCTAAACCAGTAAATTGTAAATTATAATGAGCAATTCAAAATTGAAAATTCTAACATAACAAAAAAAAAACGCGGATACGAACCTAGAGGTGTCATTATCAGGGTTGTGACTGATAACGATGGCATAATCGCCGGAAGCCCTAGCAAAGACACCACGGTCACCGACATGGTGCTCAACGTTGCATATAACAGCTCCTTCAGGGATAGAGCGAAGGGGCAAAACATTACCAACTACGAGAGTGGCCTTCTTGCCACAGTATATGAACTGACCCGTATAAAGGCCTTCGGCGGCAACGAAGAGCTCGTTTTGCTTCTTGTATCTGAATGGGTGGCGGAAAGTCACCTTGGCAAGTGGGGCACCGCGGCCAGGGTCGTGTATGACGTCGGTAACGACACCCTTGAGGTAGCCATTCCGCTCCCCGAAGTCCAGGCTCCGGAAGCGAGCCGGTCCCTTGCGGTGGTGGGTGTGGGACTTGAAGACTGAACCCGCACCCTTACGCTGTGCACGAATCACACGTCCCATTGCACTTCTGCAATGTTCGATAACCTACCGCTGAAATGGAATAAGAATTCTAGGTTAATGGAGACTTACATAGGACTAGTATTTTCAGTGTTTCAGTCATGCGTTTTCTTTTCTTGGACTTAGGTCAACATGGGCCGGCCCAAACCCCATAAGATTTGGATTGTGTAAGGTTATGGTATGGTTTGTTATCGGAAATGACATTATAATTCCTTTTTTATAGTAAAAAAACTTATACTTTTTTTCTTATTTTTATTATTAAGCCTGATCGAATTCAAATTAATTTTTTAAAAATGGAGGTTGTTTTTTGAAATACTTCTACTTTAACTATTTAAATTTCTAGTATTTAAATCAACAAATTCAAAATAAAAAGGCAAAATATAGTTCTTAAAGAAGACACACGTGGAATATCTGAAGTACTTGATAGTCTTTTGTAGATATTACCGAGAAGTCACGGGCCCATTTTCTAAATAATAAAAATTAAAAAAACATATAATATTTATTAAAACAAAAAATATTATTAAAATTATAAAAAAGTAATCATAAAAATAATTATAAGAGATTAGTTTTTATTGTTTTTTATAATTTTATTGTGAATAGTTATTTAAATTTTAAAAAAATTAGAAGAAAAACAATTATAAAACATAAAGGTATATATATTAAGATCCAAATTATGTTAATATGATTGACAACTTTATTTTATTTTTTAATATTTTGAGTTGCATAATTATTTATTAAAATTTCATTAGAATTAAACAATTTCGGCAATTTGGACTGAATGGACTTTTTAAATTAAAAATAATTAAATAAGAAAATGAGAAAAAATGTTTGACGCAATTCAATGTTTTTTTTTCTAAAAGTAAGTAACGGAAAGGATAAGAAAAAAGAGATATAAAATATGTAAAATAGGAAACTTAAAAAAAAAAATTAGACCCTTCTAAGAGAAGTGAATATTAGAAGGGAATATTTTTCCTAATAAATCATATATAAATATATTAAAAAAATTGGACCATGTAAAATTTCGGGACCTTAGCATGTGTATGTGTGCCTTTTTTTTCTATTATAGATAATTACTTTAATTTAAAAAACGATTAAATTTAAAAAAAAACTATTTAAATAATTAAAATAACAAAATAATTATTTTTTATTTAAAAAATAACTAAATTTAAGGTAACAGTAAAAGCATAATTATTTTAATTTAAAAAAATATGTAACAAAAATCCTCACTGGAACGCCCCGACAATTTACAGGGAATATTGACTGTCCCACACCGAAAAACTTTCCAGAAGATCACCCAGCTCCCACACCGTGAAAACTTCTCAGAAGATCACTCATCCCTAAATTACTCCAGGCTAAGTACGCTTAACCATGTAGTTCTTATGGATCAAACTACCGAAAAACAAATACATTTTGGTGATATGAGTAACCAAATCAATCCATTTAAGTTATCCTTAAACTGTATAGTCTCATACCTATACAGTCTCTAGATCTCTTTCATTCCGGTGTATGTTTGATTTATTCATGTGTCCCTTTCACTGAAAGCCTGCCAGGAGCCGCTCCTTGTCAGTGTCCCTTACACTTCGTGCCTCTTGTACCGGCAATCACTCCCTACCCTGGTCAGTGCCCAGATGTCACACTCACTATACATAATTCTGATCTAACGAGATTTAGTACATGCTTTCAAAAAAAAATACAAAAACTAACGGTTAATTCAACTAATCTAAAAATTTGTGAACCGTTAAAGAAATCAAATAAAAAATGGTAAAAGATGAAAATAGGCTAAATAAAATAGTATAAAACATTTGTTATTTTAAATAATATTATCATGTATGGTGGAAACTTAAATCTAAATAGTATATACTTTATTATTTTAAAGGTTAAAAGCTTATAAAAATATATTATTTTTAATCTTTAATTTTACTAAGTTATAATACTATATATTCTTTTATGTTTATATTTATATTATCTAATTATTTATACTGTTTTATTGATACCAACTCAATCATTTTTCAATCAATGAACTTTTGAACCAGTGTCCTAATTATTAGTTTAGTGACTTATCTAAAGTCCACAACATATCAAAATCAAATTGATTAGGACTCTTGAATGAAAATATGAATTATAAGAGGAAATGTGAAGTATAGTATGGAAATAACAATAATATTAATCCCCAAAAGAGGCATATCGGTAGGAAATTAAAAATAATAATATTAATTATAATAATGAAAAAGATCATTCACTAAAAAAATAATAATGAAAAGATCAAGGGAACATAGACTTATGCTCGTTGGTTCAAGTGGTCTATCAGAAATGCAAATTGAAAAACACATCACATGAAAACTATTGACTGACTATATATCAAAGACCATCTTTCAAAATGTGTGTACCTAAATTCCGTGTTTGGATGGGAACAAAAGCAACTAAAGGAAGACAAAAGACAGTGATTTATTTATTGTCTCGACGAATTAATGCAAGTAGAAATCAAAGCTGAACAATTTGTTTGAATTTTGGGAGACACACTTGGCATTTTCAATTTATAAATACTTAGAAATGGTTTAGTTTTTGTGTTTGGTATAGGGTCTCTTTCATGATGATTTTTTTTTGTGAGAAAAGAACATTACCTAACATAGTAGGTTATTATCTATTTTGATTCACCCAAAGAAAATGCAATCCTTTTTGCTAAAGGTATTCTAGGCAATACATATACTTTTCAAATTCTAGTTGATTGGAATAAAATTAGGAATATAAGAAATACAATTTATGATTCGGCTCGTAATAGAATACATAAAGCAAATTATTACAGCTATTATTTTTCGAACATGAACAATTCATAATGTACGCAGATATGTTATATTATCAAACTTATCTTTCCCAAAAGAAACATGAGTATATCTTAAAACAGACTAATTCTACTTGAAAGCAAGAGAAAGTAACAACTTTGACAATTTTTTTGGATTGAATAGACATAAACGATAGACATTAGTCTTTAAACAACAACTTCAAACAAAAAATTAATAATAAAGTGAACTAAGGACTCTTTTTTTCACTAATTGTTTTTAAGAAGGAAATTGTTGAAAATCTACATATAAGTTTAAATTTTTTATTGAATAAATGTGAAAAAAATAAGTATCTATTACCTTAAGATTTTATTGAAGTGATGTTAATATATGATTTGAGTTGAGTTTGTGTTTTATTGGTGATATATTTTCTGATATATCTCCACTCGAAAAAAGTTATCACGAATTCTTTACTTTAAAGATGTTGGAACAAATATTGTCAGGGAAAACTTATTGGATTTTTCTTCTCTTTAAAGACCAAATGCATGATGAGAATGGATAGAACATGTGGAGTGAAGTTAGTTTCTTTTACTGAAGGATGACCACATGATGAAAGTTAGATCAATATATGATAAAGGGTATGAGATATAAATATGGAGAAAAAGGAGAATAAATAAGACAATAAGTGAAAAGAAAAAAATAAGATTGGAGGGTAATCACATTAAAACTAGAACAACATACAATGATCAATCTATATATTTAGTTTATTGAAAATCAAAATATGTTAGGAATTAAGTCAAACATTAATATTAATTTTACCGTTGTTTTTTTTTTATTTACTATTACATTCATTATATATATGCAAATATTTCTGGGACTGAGAGACTAACCTGTTGATGTGTCCTTTTAGCTTCCGAACGTCTGGATCACCTGCTTTTCTTCAACCTAGACTGCTCGGTCACCTTCAATCTACTATTGTTGTCCGATCGGTGTTGGTGTTGACCAATTGGTCTTCTTCTGGACGAGGGGGAGGTACCTGGAAAAGACACTCTGACGCCCAAGTTAGGCGTGTGATTTGAAGGACGTTGGTTTGAGAATGGGTTCAGTGTGAGTGAAACGTATTGATCAATGATCAATCTATATATATATATATATATATATA